CCGCCCCCCACCTGGGGGCCTGAAGTGGCGCATGCCCGGTGGACACCCTGGTTCCTAACAAAGCCACCAGCCTCTCCGAGGGAGATAGGCAAGCTTTCTACGTGAGTGAACTGTTATAGTCCTGGAGATCCACAGGGGCCATCCTACCCTGTTCTATAGTTGGCATTGTCTTGATGGCAGTGAGTTTTGAGAAGGGAGTTGGCAGCTAGGATGACCTCAGACACCCGCCCTTCCCCCACCCCTTGTATTGTTCCAGCTATTCATTGTCTGCCTCACTGGCTTGGGCCACAAGAGCAGGGAACACACCTCTATTTTTGCATCCTCAGTTGCTGGCCAGTGCCCACAGCACACCATTTCCAGTGAAATATTAGACAAACCCAGGTTTGTTGTTATCGAGCAGATCTCGGAGTGCCTGCTGTGTACCAGGCACAACTGTGCTCAGCGCTCGGAATAGCCCCATGGATCTGGCCCTGCTCTCTGGGAGCTAAAGTCTAGTGGCAAAAACCAGGACAGCCACTGCTAAAGTCCCAAATGGTGGGTGCTGCCACCAACGAAGCGAAGCAGTACTGAGGCAGAAACTAACCTGGGAGACCCTCTTTCTGTCGGCGGACCAGAGAATAGTTGATCCTGAGCCGTGGCGAGTGAGGCGTCAGCTCAAGCAAGAAGGGGAGAGGAACACGCAAACTGGGAGGACGAGCTTCGCAGCGGTTCTGAGCCCTTGGGGTGGGCTCGAACTGGGAGCTCTGGAGAAATGAGAGAGGCCTGTGGTTGTGGTGTAGTGAAGAGCTTCGAGGCTCTGTGCCCTTGGCCTCTCTGCACCCAGTGTTACCACTGCCAGTGCTGCACGCCCTTGGGCAAATTACACAGTAGTTGTCTGATCTGTAGAACATCGATTATGATACCTCTTCAGAACGGTTGTTGTGCGGATTAAATAAGAGAATGCAATCATAGGTTTCCTCATTGTTTTTTTTCTCTTGTTGTTATTCATATTGCTGAATTCCAATTAGGGAAGGCTAACTAAATTTGGCCCCAAATGGAAACTTATTTAATGTACTAAATAATGAAAATCCAGACGTGTGTTATTTCAACAGACAAAATTAAAGGGGTGTGTGTGTGTGTGTGTGTGTGTGTGTATGTGTGCGTGCGCGTATGTGTGTGCGTATGAATGAGGCATTTATTTCTCGGGAGGGGAGCAAATCTTTCCTTAATGTTTCTGTTTAGAGGAAAACACTCCAAATGGTATTTAAGTTTTTGTTTTTTGAAACCAATTACACCACCATCTCTGTAGAGCAGTTTTCAACGTTTTCGCATCCTGCGCCAGTTTGCCGCCATGGCAGCTGTGCCTTTCATAGGGCATATCCGGAAAGTGGCCATCCGCGTCCAGGTGGTGGGAATTTACAAATTTGTTTGCAAATGACTTCAGCTTCTCTTCTAAAAGTTTTCAAAACAAAAATGAGCTGATACCAAGGGCTCAAGTAGAAAGCAAATGTTTTGAGAATGATGATGGCAACAAATGTACAAATGTGTTTGACACAATGGATGGATGTATGGATTGTGATAAGAATTGTACGAGCCCCCAATAACGTGATTTTAAAAAAAGAAAAGAATGGTAGTTGGACCAATGTAGTGCTGGACTAAACACTGGAAGCTTCACTGCCAGAGGCATGGCTTGATTTGGAGCAACGCTGAAAGCCAATGCCCAGCAGTATTGTCAATAGAAGTAGCAAGCGCAGTAGGACGCAGAAGGGGATGATTCAGTCCTGTTAGCTTCAGGTTGTGGGGTTAGCCCAAGTCAGCCAGAATATTAGCAGGGATATGAGGTGGCCTTAGAAGTACACGAAATGTTCTCCACACTTCTCTGGCTGACTGGGAAAATTATGTGTAGGTCCAGGGAGACCTGAAAGGGCCTAGTGGAAAGTAAAAGCCAAGGCAGGTGTCCACATTTTCTCAGCTGTGCCATAGATGAATCGTGATCAAAAGAGAAAATGCAGAACAGAATCGAACATTCTCATGGACTCTAGATTGATTTTCTGGAGCCACAGAGGCCAGATGAACCCCTGAAACTATTACTTGGGCTAATGTTTAAATCTTAAAGATAACTCAACCTCACCCCTACCCCCCCCCAAAAAAAGTTTTCCAAACAGCAGTGTTGCCTACTTCACAGCAGAGTACTTGCTGACAGTTTCAAATGGCAGGCTTTCCGATAGGCGCACCCAGGGTGATGTTTGGGCTCTTGAGCATGAAGAATTACAGAGGCAGGAATACAACCAGGGAGCTACATCAGGCAAGCAGCAAGGTCAAGTTTCCCTGTAAGCGGTGTCTGGTAACCATATTGCACATGTCATCAGAAGACGTACAGGAGCCACGTAAGTGAAGCCCGGAGCTGGACAGAGAGTGGCATGTTAATGCAACGTTAAACAACAAGCCTCGAATTAAATTGCTATTTCAGGTTTGGGTGGGAGCTTCCCATTTAAAAAGTATTGCAGTTTTACTCTGTGATTTAGGTCTGCTGGGTTCCAGTAAAGAGTAGGTGGTAACACTGGCTTTGAAGGATAATCTAAAGCTGCAGGAAGAACCCGGGCATACCAATTTGTTTTTCAATCTATTTTATTTCAGCTCAAAGCATCATTGCAGGCAGGCAGCCCCAGAAAACAAGCCACACTTTGGCACCACTCCACCGCTTTCAGAGATAGAGGGAGACTGAGTGTAACCAGAGTGTGGCGTGTTTACTCGGACTCTCTGTCTGCAATAATGCTTTGAACTGAAATAAAATAGATTGAAAAACAAATTGGTATGCCCTGTTGCCTCATACAGAGTATTTACATTACCTTTCCAGAGGACTGCCTGTACCAGCACCCCGGGGGAAGGCAGTGACCCCTCAGCCTCTTTCAACTTTTCTAGAGAGTGAATGCTTTCATTTTTGCAGGGAAATTGAATTGGGATATATGGTTTTCTCGCTCTCCAATGGCCGGCCTCCTGAAGCTGTCATCTTGATAATGTGGAAGAAGTTTGCTAGCAACTACATAGAGGAGGGAATTAAATATTAAGGGCATTTAAAGTCAGAGATGAGATTTCCACTTTCTTTAAGTCACGCGAAGGGGTGCTGTGTTTCATTTGCAGAGAGCATGCAGCTTCGTGACTCCTGCAGCCCTCCGGGGAGAGGAGGTGAAAGCTAGCTTTCCCTACATTTCCCTAGTGTCCTTTAGCGCCGGCTCCTCAAAATCATGACACCAAGTATTTCATTTCCTTTGATACACTAAAATACATTTTAACAGATCCCCCTAAGGCAGGGGTTGTTAATCGGGACAAACGGTTGGGCTGCACGGGGTACAAGAAACCTTGGACATTGCCTGTACACTGTGTGAGCGTCGTTTTTCTTCAGAGAGCCCGTTATTTTAACCAGATCACAGAGTTTGTCCTTGCCCCCTCCAAGTGCAGAGCCAACAATAAAATAGTATGCAGCCCCACCCCCCAGCCCCCTCCATGGACCAGTTACTTTCCACTGCTCTGCGACCTTGACCTCAGAGTTTTGAAAGTGTATTTTCAGGCTTTGGTTTTTGCCTTAAGTGGTGAAGCATCATTGAAGGTTTTGAAGTGCTTCAGAAATACCTTAGAGATTGTTGTTTGTCATGGTTTTGTGGAAGGTTTTCCGTGAGACTGGTGAAATGCTGATGTCCTGCCTTGGCGGTCTTGTTTGCAGACATCCTGTTGGCTCTTCTGCCTGGTGAAGTGACGCTTGGCACCAATTTCTTGCAGATGGAGTCGGTTCCTCAGATTTAGGACCACCACCACCACCAAACCAAACTCCCTGCCATGGAGTCAATGCCAACTCTCTAGGGCAGGGGAGAACTGCCCCGTGGGTTTCCGAGACTGTCAACTGCAGGCAGCCCATCCTCTCCCTTGGAGCTGCTGGCGGCTTCAGTCTGCTGACCTTTGGGGTCAAAGCCCAACTTGTAACCATTAGCCACCAGGGCGCTGTCAGATTCAGGAAAGTGGGGCTGAGAAGGGAGAGGGGAAGTGCAGAGCAGCAGATTAGTCTCAAGAAAGCACACCCAAAGGAGTAAAGAACAGGGTGCTGCTCCTCATTTGTCCAGGAGGTCTCCTGTACCAGGGAAAGAAAAGAGACCATCAGCCTGACGTCTGAACTCAGGCCCTGTTTCATGATCATTAGTGACCAGACTGATGGTGGCCCCATGCAAAGCACTGCCCAGTCCTTGTGCCATTCATATGATTCACTGTGGATTGGACCATTGTGATCCATAGAATAGTCACTGACCAATTTCAAAAGTGGATTGCCAGGCCTTTATTCCTAGTCTTAGTCTGGAAACCCTGCTGCAACCTGTACCACATCGAAGCAGCACGATAGCCTCAGTTGACAGCCCAGGATCAGACCCATGCCTTTCGAATAGAAGGAGAGCATGCTGTCACGACACCACCTGTGCCCTCTCTAATGCTGCTAGTGTGTGCCTTTGAGTCAGTTCAGCGCACAGAGAGCCCAAAGTCCAGCATACAGGT